ACGGGGATGTTCCTGCCTTGGATGGGAGGTTGGACTAGACGTCCTCCTTGGGTCCTTTCCAGTTCTGTTATTCTGTGACTCTAGGATGATATGTTTTCTTTCTTTCCTCATATGAACTGTAATGTAGTATGTTATGTATGTGATTTTTTTTTCCCAAAATCAGACCGAGAGAGAAGAGGAATGTCACGTGCTTATGGCTGAAAAAGGCACTTCTTAGGAAAGTATTACATAATAGCTTACAGGAACACTACAGAAGTGAGAGGATGTTTATCATAATGAATCCAATCAACCTTCATTTCTGCCTGCAGGGGTGGGTGTATTATAGTATTAACATACCATCAATCTTTCTGGTGTGGTTTCTTTGCTGTGGACTAATGTGATAAGTAGAAGTTCTTCCTGAAGTGCAGAATTTCTAAGACAGAAGAAAATCAAAGATGGGAAATGCTTCAAGTCACCTGTACAAAGGGATTAACTATTGCTTTTGCTCTTGTGGCTATAATTGGCACCTACAGACTGTTTTTGCAGATGCCGATCTGAGTGTTTGCACTTCTTTCTACCTAATTACATGCACAGTCTGCATCTGCAAAAGGGAGTCTACCTTCCTTGCCAAGGATAAGTTCTTTCTCTTACAGAATATTCTCTTTTTGAAAGTGATGAGGCCTGTACCTTTCTTTTGGGAGAAGCTCTCCTCCTTTTAGGGGAAAAATGGAAAACCTGAGGAACAACCTGGGCATCTGTAAAAAGATAAACCAGTTTGAAGTTATTGGTGTCAACCAGGCCAAGCAAACAGACATCCATACCCCTCATCACACCACAAATGCCCAAAATTGATGGCCAATACATAGGTGGCATCAATTTGTGCTGCCTTATTACAGCAGTCATTTGTTTAGGTTTACGGCAGGAGAGCATGGCCAGCCTGAGCTCCCATTCCCAAGGCAGGCAGGATTTGGCCCCCGTACTCACAGGAGCACTCTCCTGGGTCATCGAATCAAAGAATAATTAGGGTTGGAAGGGACCTCAGGAGGTCATCTAGTCCAAAGCAAGACCATCCCCATCTAGATCATCTCAGCCAAGGCTAAACTGGTCCTCCCATTCGGGATTCCCCGGGCACCTGTCAATACTCCAGTGTAGCCCCAGGGCTGAGACCGCCAGTCGGCCGATTGGTTAGTCCCAGCCCTGGGACCGCACCGGTGTCAAACTTCCTCCCAGCCTCAGGATCACCCCAGAGCAAGACCACACCAGTCCTGGGGTGGGACCACCAGTCAGCTTTCCCTGCTTATAGAGACGTGCCTAAAATATTGCAGAGGTCACATTTGTGAAAGGGGGACCATGTCGCCTGTTGTCCCACAGGATCAATGGGCAACATGCATTTCATTCAGTGGAGCAGATCAGCTGTGCCAGGACGTGTCCCAGCACACCTGATCCACCTCATCTAGCAACATCTGTTTTTACTCCTGCTGACCCCTCTTGCTGAGCAGTGATTGAAATGAGCTGCCACCACAACTAGTGTGAGATAACCAGAGATCATCTCCCCTCTCCCCAGGCCCAGATGCCTTTCAGATGGTAGTTCTCAGGCTCTGTCTACCAATGCATTCACTGGATTTGCAAGGAAATCCTTTGCTCTCAATTTAGCCTATTGCTTTGAATGACTATTTTTAACAACTAAGAGAAACAATAAGTCCCTAGGTAATGACAGGGTCCCTGCAGATCCCTCTTGTGTGGCAGTGTTTAGAAGAGCCATCGTGGCTGAAGCACCCTTAGTTATCACAGAACCCGAGCAGTTGAACAAGGTATTGACAAAGCCATCTTATCCATTGATTTTTATGCTCGCCGTTCATCCGCCTGTTGTATGAGGTCCCACCTCAGAAGTAATTGTTGGGAACATGTCTGATATTCAGAGCAGCACTTTGCAGATTAATGTTCCCTGTCCTCGCTGTACTCTTTTTGGACTTTCTGAAACAGCATCTCCCACAGCACTTTCCCTGAAGAGCTGCCAGCGTGGTTTCTCTTCTTGTGGTTTAACAATAAAAAAGGACATATTTCTCAAACAATCAAATCACCTGCCTGAACAAAGCCTGTCCCTGGCTTGTAGTACCTGCCACCTTTTATTACTGGACATGGCTGGTGCTCGGCTGTCATCGGGGGGAGCATGCATCCACTCATTTCTTTGATGTGTTCCCCATTTGTCTGAGATGACCGTCATTAGCGTGATACTCAGTGAGTCGTGCATACATCCCAGTTGAGAAAAAACTACTGAAGCTAAGGGCAAGTGAATTCCTTACAGCCAGCTGGCTTGCTGTATGATGGCAAACATGGACACCTAGTGGCATGTCAGTGCAGAGCACAGAGATTATGTGATTATTTTTCCAAAAGAGAAACGGAGACATCCAGGCTGCTTCTGCCAGTGATTTGCATTAAAAGAAGGAAAGGTTTGATTTGTCTCTCCAAGGGAAGTGGTAGAGAGAGAAGAATGGGGGTCAGGGGAAGGGGGCCTTCTTTGGAAGGGAGAAAAAACATGAGAACTGAGACGGTCGAGGCTCTTTGGGTGAATCTTTCATTAGACCAACTAAATAATTAGAAAAATGTTCTCTACAACCTTTCCGGCACAAGCACCCTTCTTCAGGTATGGGGAGAGTCTACTGGTGTTTGTGTCGGAAAAATTATTCTGGTTCTCCACATTGTAGTATATTATTAGGGTATTTATCTGGACAGAAATTAAGGGCTTTAGAGAAGACAGATGTTTCACCTTTGGTAAGTACAAGTGTGGAGAGAGTGATAATATTGGAGGGTTGACTAGTTTTCTCGGTTTCATCAAGTATGAGGTTACAAAGTTGTGTATATAGTACTGGTGGTGTTTGCCCTCCCTCTATGAGACTCTCCCTCTGCCTGAAGAAGGGTGTTTGTGTCCAAAAGCTTGTAAAGAACAATTTTTTCCAACTATTTAGTTGATCTAATAAAAGACATCACATTTACCCAAAGAATTTTGTCTGCCTGTGTCCTTAGACCAACACAGCTATCACCAACACTCATGAGAAATGAGGAACCTTCTATTTTCCATGTGCAGATTGGGGCACAAAGCAGTAAGTGATGGGTTCAACGACTCAGTTTTACACCCATGGATCTGGTTGTAGGTGCAGATTCTCACCACAAAGGAGAAGCCAAATTCCCCCCTTTTTGAAAAGGGTACTAAAAGTATTTACATGCCTGATTTCCTGTGTATTAAACCTCTCAGGACTCCAGACCAGGAAGTCTTTAAAAAAAAAAATAAAAAAATCAGATTATTCTACAGCAACCCAATCCTGCTGCTTCATGTTATCATTACTGTACCACATGTATATGTGTATGCTCACTATGATAAATGGTGAAATCACATGATAAACAACACAGGTATGAGCTCATATATGCTAAATTAAAATATTACTTCCTTGCAACCACTCCAGCTGCGCTCTGAGTCCTCTCTACCAGGATTTAAACACCTGAGTGACTTCAAATGAGTATCATTTTATTTAAAAAACAAACCCAGCTTACAGATAAAATGTTTCCTCTGACCTCGAGGCCCAGGACAGCTGAGATGAAGGTGTCCACTATAGATGAAAATGTCACAGTTGTGGGTCAGGTACCCCACAACTTGGCAAAGTTTAAGAGACACAAGGATTATTGGTTCAAGAGAAATTATTCCATTGGGTTCAGTTTCATGGAATGAAGCCTGTAGAGTTGAGGAGCCTTGGATAATAGACTTTAAAAGGATGCCATTGATAGATCTCAGTCTCAAGAAGACAGCTAAACCATCAGTTCTTTTTTGGGGGGCATCTCAAGAGAGCAGCCACATAACTTTATTCAGCAGGGGGCACCCAGAGTACCAGTGAATGGATAAGGCATATTTTCATGGCTGTGCTCCCTTGCAGTCTCCAGTGCACTGTAGACGTGTCCACAGTGCTCTAATTTTGGATGCATAGTGAGAGCGAACCCAGTACTGCAAGGTGCTAGCAACTCCTTGAGTGGATCATTACTGTCAACATCATTAGCTTCACTGGAGTACCTTATAGGATCAGGCCCAAATCACTTGGATTTACAGTGATTTTTAAAACTTTTTTTTGAAACTTCCTTTCCCCATCCCCTCACCCCCCCCTTGTGTTTCTGGCCTATCCATGAGCAGCCAGGCAGAAAACTTTAATAGTGTGGTAAAAAGCCTGTACTGGCACTTGTTTGTCAAGACCTTTGTAATTCATCGTGAGCAACAGAAATATGAGTAAATGAAGAAACACACTCAATTTTTCCAGCAAGACTAGTAGAAACAGGATGATGCATTTATTCTTAGGCCAGGGTCCTGGCAGAGCATATGTAATTACTCTGGTGTTTGTTATTTGCCAAAGGACGCCCCTGTTCTTCGAAACAGAACTTTCCACAGGAGAAAGTTTTATCTCCCGAGTCAGGACACCCCAGTCATTGCAGAGGTCCCTGGACCACGTCCTCTTGGCAAAAATCAGCGCCAGCTTCACGTGTGCAGTATTTTGCATGTGTTCCCTTATTGAAATCCCTCCTGATGGTGCACGGGAACCCAGCTGCAATCCTGACTGCAGGTGGGAGAGTTGGAGCTTACTCTAAGATGGCTCAGAAAACAGGGGAATTTTGAACTCCAATACTTGCTTTGCTTCAAGTCACTAAAGGAAGGAAAGCAAGAAAATTAAGTGTTGTAATGGATGCCAGCCAGAACCTACGCCCAGGAAGGGGTCAGCAATCTAAGAGTTAACCAGTGGGCGGCTTTGAATTTCTTGCCGCAGGTTGGTAAAGTCCATAGGAAAGAAAGGAAAGTGGAGGCACGGCTAGTTAAACTTAGATGTAGAAAATCATTAACCTACTTTTGGGGAACTGGGAGTGAATTCCTGTCTAGCAGACATGTAGGATTGCCAATGCATTTGCACCGTAGAAGACAGTGCTGTTGCCTTCTGCCGCCTTTAACTTTTTCACTATTTCTTTTCCTCCCCTGCTTCACCTGGCAGCTGTCTGGAGGCTGTGAACTCACCGTGGTGCTACAAGACTTCACTGCCAGCCATAGCAGCGAGCTGAGCATCCAAGTGGGACAGACCGTGGAGTTACTAGAGAGACCGAGTGAAAGGCCGGGCTGGTGTTTGGTACGGACGACGGAGCGGAGCCCGCCTCAGGAAGGTCTCGTCCCCAGCAGCACTCTCTGCATCTCCCACTCCCGGAGCAGCGTGGAGATGGACTGCTTCTTCCCTTCAGGAAAAGGTAGGCTGAAATTGGGAGGATTGCGCCCCCGGATGACATTAAGCAGAGGTCACTCACAGTTTTCATCTTGGCAGCCAATATCAATTGTAATATACCTGCGCTAAGGAACGGGTGTGTATACATTACATGTCGGTCATTAAGGCGTTCTGACACAAGTTCCTTGTAAATCACCGTAGCTCCACCAGACTTCCTTAAGTCACTGTTTTTCTGTGCATTTATCTCTTGCCTGTGCAGAGATGGCTTTTAGTGTGAGAAACTGGTAGAAAAAAAGTATATACTAGCCCTTTCTATACAGCTAGGAAAATCTGTCTTCTGAATAGCTCATGGGACCACTTATAATACCTAATAGTCTATGGGGAGTGAAAGTCAAGATTAGGAGTATTACATTAGGTATTGCATTATGGTACACTATTAGGTATTGCATTACAGTGCACTGCAGCATCCAGCAAGCAAGTTTTCTTTCTTATATTCCTGCCTGTTGATCTCTCTGTGGATAGCTGCACATGAACCCCGTCTTTCATGGGTGCGCTGCTCAGAAATTTCTAGGCGAGTCCTGGTGACGCCAAGTTTGGCTCTAGGAATATTGGATTATTACTTGTCTCAAGCTGAAGCTCCGTCGGCTCCGCAGATTTCCCGCGATGTGACAATTTAACAGTCCCCCAGGGCAAAATGTTGAGTCAAATACAGTTTCTTGGAAAAGGATGATCAGAGTACAGGAATTGTCATGTGAAAGTAGACGTTTGAAGTTCAACTTAATCTTGCCTCTAGAAATGGCTTATACCTATGCTTTAGGAGGAAGTTGAAATGACAGTTCATTCAGGGGTGCGCTTGGGTGGGAGAGGTTCCCTCATAACCATTTACGCTGTGAAACCAAGGGACAGAGGCTGTCCTCGTAACTTTTGCACATAGTTAATTTTAATACAAAGCGATATTCCTTTTGATATAAATGCCCACTATTTAAAGGTGATACAGTGTCATTTTAGATCATGTCCAAACTCTGTCTGGTGTAGCATGGTACTCTCACTAGCAGGCACTGCACTACATAGCTTATATGCTGGAAAATCAAGCATGCCTGCAAAGTGGCAGATTATTTGGGCCTGTGGTTCCCTGGTCAATATAGTAGTCGGGTCCCTTTTCAGCAGACCATTGAGTGGGAGAAGAGACTTCCATCATACAGGGTCACCTAAGGAAGTGAGGAAGAAGAGGCTTCTTTCATGCTATGCCTGACTCCTAACACACCAGCCTGCCCTGGCTGTTTTGTTTTAAATATTTTCCTTAAGACATAGAATTTGATCTGTTCTTGTTTTAGCAGCACAAGCTTGGAGTTATTCTGTTTGTTGTAGGATCATAGGACAATAGGGTTGGAAGGGACATTACATGTTCATCTAGTGCAGCCCTCTGCTCAAAGCAGGATCATCCCTGACTAAATCTTTCCAGCCAAGTGTCTAACCTACTCTTGAAAGTTTTCAAGTACAGGCAGGCCTCAGATTTATGACACAGTTGGTTCCTGAAAACCGTGTCTTAAGTCAAAACATCATAACTCAGAACTGATTTTTCCCATAGGAAACAATGTTATAAATGTGGGATTCGTTCCTGAACCCAGGCCTGATACCCTATTTTCACCAAAAATAACCCAGAATTTTGTACTCAATCAATTATAGATGAGTAATATAACTACACTAATGCATTCATATTGTAAATGGCAATCATACTGATTTGGAAGGACTTCTTGGAGGTGACTTTGGACTTTTTGAAGGGCTCTTGGCTGGAGTCTTCTCAGGGGTCTTGGCCGCAGGTTCTTCTGGAGTTTTGTCTGCTTTCTTAAAGAAAGTGTCCAAGGACGTTTGGACAGACGTTCTCCAGGGAGATGGATGATGCAGCGAACTTGTTTGGCATGGCGTGGCATCGGATCAAGCGTTGTCGAGTCGAAACAGGGTGTCAGTTTATAAACGTCGTAAGTGCTGTTCATTGTAACTCGAAAGGTCTTAAGTTGGGGACTACCTGCATGGATGTGCCGTAGCTTCTCTAGGTATCTTGTTCCAATACCTGACCACTCTCATAGTCAGAAAGTTCCTGCCCTGCTGCAGCTTAAGGCTGTTGCTCCTAGTCCTGTCCCCTACAGCCACAGAGGAAAGCCCATCTCCATCTTCCCTGTAATCAGCCTTTGATGACTAGGTCTTTGACAAATGATCAAATCTCCCCTCAGTTTTCTCTTCTCCAGGCTAAATAACCCTAGCTGTTTCAGCCTCTGAGGACCCTAATCATTTTTATTGCCCCACACTGGACTCTTTCCAATCTGTCCATACCTTTCTTGAAGTGTGTGGCCCAAAACTGAACACAGTACTCCAGGTGAGGCCTCACCAGTGCTGAATGAAGCAGAAGAATTGCATCCCTTGATTTGCAAGAGACACTCTTCGTACTACAACGCAAGATGCTGTTGGCTTTTTCTAGAACAAAAGTACACTCTTGGCTCCTGTTCAGCTGACAGTCTATCATAACCCCCAGGTCCTTCTCTGCAGTGCTGCAACTATGCCAGATTCCCCAGTCTGTATTTGTGCATGTAGTTATTCCTTCCCGTGTGCAGGACTTCGCCCACATCCTTGTTGAATCTAATCTGATGGGATACGAGCCATTTATCCAGGTCATTCTGGATCCTAGCCCTGCCCTCCAAAGTGTCCATAATTCCACCCAACTTGGTGTCATCTGCGAACTTGCTAAGTGTGCACTTTATCCCGTCATCGAAATCATTAATGAAGATGATTACCAGACCACCGACAGACACTTGGAGAACCTTACTTGATACCTCCTCCCAGCTAGACATTGAGCCATTGAGGAGTAATTGCTGAGAAGGATGATCCAGCTAGTTATGTATCCACCTTTATAGTATGTTCATCTAGTCTATCTCTTTAGCTTGTTAATGAGGATGTCATGGGACACAATGTCAAAAGCCTTGCTAAAGTCAATATCTTCCATGTTTTGGGGGTGTTGGTTGTAGTCGTGTTGCTCTAAGGACATAGGCAGACAAGGCTTTTTGGGTAAATGTGATATCTTTCATTAGACCAACTAAATAGTTGGAAAATTTGTTCTTTGCAAGCTTTTGGGCAAAATACCTTTCTTCAGGCATAGATAAGGAGTCTCCCTATGCTTAAAGAAAAGTGTTTGTGCCCAAAACTTTGCAAAGAACAATTTTTTCCAACTATTTAGTTGGTCGAATGAAAGAGATCACATTTACCCAAGGAGCCTTGTCTTGCTAAAGTCAAGGCATGTCATGTCCATTGCACAGGTCTAATTGGGGGGGTGGGGCAGAGCAAAGTGGGTAGTATTCACTTTGGATTTGGCCAATTTGGGGAACAGTGATTTGATTCAATGATTTGAATCACTGTTCCGAATCAATTTGTCCAAATCTGATTTTAAGAGAAAAAAAAACAAACAAGAAAACTCCCTGGACTAACCGGTTCCTGCCAGCAGGGGGTGATCCCCGCTGCTCCCGTGCCATGTGTGAAAATGGAAGAAAAAAAGGCGTTAAATATTTCAGTCTTCTCTGCATCATCCGTGACCAGACTGGCTTTGGCCTTCCATAATGGACCTATGGATTCTCTGCTCTTCTTACTTTTTACATAACTGTAGAATCCCTTTCTATTGCCTTGTATGTCCCTTACCAGCTGCATCTCAAATTGTGCCTTGGACTTCCTAATTTTCTCCCTGCATGGCCATGCAATACTCCTATACTCTTCCCTGGTACTATGACCAAGTTTCCACTTTTTTATAGGGTTCCTTATTGAGTTTCAGCTCCTTGAAGAGATTGCAACCCAGCCAGACTGGTCTCATATTGCACTTACCATTTTTCTGTCTCATGAGAATAGCTTGCTCCTCCACACTTAAGAGAGACTCTTTGAAGTAGAGACAGCTCTCCTGGACTCCTTTACCCCTTGGACTTGCCTCCCAAGGGATCTTGCCCACCAGGTCCCTGAGTTTTTTCTCATAGAAAACTCAGGTACCTGGGGCTCTTCATTACCCTCGGGGACCTGGGACTCTTTTTTGCCCTTCTTCCATGACATCCCGCTGCCATCAATAGGAACTTTGAATAAAGGCAGAAGGAAATAAAAGAGCAATCAGAGCAAACTCCTGTTTTGAACTAAAGATTTTGAGCAATGTTTTTTATTAAAGATGAGTTTGAACTAAAAAAGACCCATGTCGGATCACCCTCAAAATTGAAGGCGAGGGAACGGCAAGGAGGTCCTTCTGGATCCCATCCTTTCCACTGGTCTTTCTCAATTTTAGACCTTTCCTCATACTCCATTTTGTAATTATGGCCGAGAGGGTCAGAAATCTATTTTGTTGTCAGTTATACTGGTTGTAAAGATTGTTTAGCGTTCAAGCCCCCAGGAGTCCTTCAGGGACTCTCTAAATTGCCCAACAAGCCCGGACTGTTTCACTTGTATTTTCTTCACTCTGACCACTGCTTCTCTAATATAGTTCATCAGCTGTTCTGCATCAGCTTTGCTTTGCTATAGAACGTCCTTTTCCTTGCATTCGCTAGAGGGTGCTGCTGATTATCACTGTAATAAATTTGCTTACTCCTATGTAGAGCTGAGGCAATTTATACTGGGGAATGGAGAGGAGAGAAATCAGTCTGGCCTCTGTAATAATACTTGTATTTTGAAGTGTATACTTGAAAAAGTGGACCAATTATTAATGAGAAAAAATGTTCCTCTTTTTCTGGTTTAATTTCTGTTGAGCAGCTTAGGTTCTGTGTGGTACTTGCAGTCTATAAGAGTCTATCCAAAACTCCTACATTTTATACCAAACCAGATAGGTACTTGTTAGCTTAATTCTGAATTGTCAGTGTTGTTTCAATACCTCAGTGGATCTCCAGCTTTTTAAAGTTATGGTCCCTAGTTCACAACTACAGAATATCCATGTGGCTACTGTCGAGCGGGGATACTATACAGCCGCAGTTCTCCGCAGCCTGACGCCTTGTTGGGGTGAGCTGTGAGGAG